AAAAAAAAAGCAAAAAGATACAGATGAAATTAGTAACCCATTTATTTAAACCAACATATCCAACATATGATCATTTCAACACGTAAGCAAGACAAAAAAATATTAATGAAATTTTTTACTCTGTTTTGTACTAAGTTATCAGAATCTGGTGTGTATTTTACACTTACAGCACATCTCAATTCGGGCTAGCCACATTTCAAGCGCTCAATAGTACATGTGGCTAGCGGCTATCGAGTTGGACAGCGCAGATCTAGACCAGTCCTCTCAAGTCTCAAGCTCCCAGACAAAATCAATGTACGATTTTGAGCAAATGACTGGAACATAAAGATAATCCTAATTAAAATGTGGTATAAATGTAGGCTATGTCATAACCCAAGTTCAAAAACAAACAACAACAAAAAAAACAATTGAAAGCAGAGACAAATGAAAATTTTTCTTTGTGACCCCTGTGTTAGGAGACATTAACTTTATAAAACAAAGAAACACTGCTTTGACCATTCTCTCTGGAAGAAAAAAATTATTTTAAATAGTTATGCTGTATAAATGCAAACCAGAAATAAAGTAAGTGCTAAGAAGACACACCCCTTGAAACAATATATATAGACACAGTGAATCATTCAGATAAAGAATGATCTTGGTATGTGTTCAGGGGTAAATAAATATATACTGGCATGAGTACATAAAAAGTCTAGAAAGATACAACTTACTGTTAACAGTGGTTATCTCTGGGAAATGAAACTGGAAGTGAAGGAAGCCTTTCAATTCTATTTTACATACTGTGTATTGCTTTGTTTTTAAATTTTTTTTAGGGGAGAGTAGTGGGGGAGGGGGGAAGGGAGAAGGGGAGGAAGAGAACGAGACGGAAAGAGAGAGAGAAAGACAGAGACAGAGAGAGAAGCCCAAGCAGGCTCCATGCCCAGCGCAGAGCCCAACGAAGGGCTCCATTTCACAAGCATGAGATCATGACCTGAGCTGAAATCAAGAGTCAGACACTTAACCCACTGAGCCACTCAGGCGCCCTTGTTTCGTCTTTTGTAATAAACATGTTGCGCTCACAATTTTTCTCAACATAATAAAGCACTGATCGAGCTTGTAGTGCACATTTAACCTGTGTGTATTACTTGCTGCGGCAGAACTAGCGCTGGTCCAAGGGAAGGAAATTAAAAGCGCTTAAGAGGGTAGGTTGGGAGTGGATGCTAGGACAGAAACAAAGAGTGTTATAGACTGAGAAGTCTACAGAGTAATGATGGTTAAAGATAAAGTGAATATGACTTACACAAGAAAGAACAGTCTATCCCTGAAGCTTTAAGTTTACAAAGAAAAAGAAGTACTACTTTACACAGTAGTAAAAATGAATTTCATTGCGCATTTCTTCTTCAGACACGACAGTCAAAGAATAAAGCCCACGTAATCGAGGGCGAAACAGAACACTACTCTTAATGACTACTAACTTGGCAAAAGTACTGTACTAGTGCTCTCGGTTACGTTGGTAATGCTAAATCTGGATTACTACCCGAGGTTTACTAAATACACACCAGGAAGTAACAGTGAAACACTCGTTAATAAACTCCGCATCTGCACATCAGCATTACGCAGCGGACAGCAAGCCGACAGAAACAGCAGAGAGCTCTCATAACATCTGAGCTTTACCACATGCCAGGCCCTGTCCCGTGGGCTTTTAAGACATTACCATATTTAGTCTTCATACCCACCCTTTATTGCTGAGGAAACTGAGGCTTAGAGAGGTTAAGTGACTTGCCCAAGGTCACAAGCAGCAGCATGTGACAAAGCTGAGGTCTGAGGCGGTCTGATTCCAGTCAACACTCACATTCGGCGTGCTATGCTTCATGTCCGCGCCACACAGTCACCTTCATGACCACCCCCGTTCGACGCTACGGGGATACAGGTTTCCTGTAGCCAACGCTTTTCATAAACTGTCAAAACCGGACACCATTCACAGCATTCTGCCGCTTTGCTACCAAATGTGCACAACTGGTCTGTACAAACACTCAATTTCTTCTCCTTTCATTATGACCCAATCAGAGGTCGTACCTTATTAAAAACATCCTTGCTAATGGCATCCATGTTCCACAGACACATTCTCTCTCTCTGTACGAGAGCCTCTTCTTTCTGCCTCCACTCTTCTTCATGTTGCTTCAGCTCCGATACCGCTGTTTGTGCTTTGGCATGTTCCTGATCCAAGGACTCCGAGTTATGCAGGGCTAGGCTACCAAGTTTCTGCTGAGCTTCTGCGAGATTCCATTTGCACGCCACAGAGCTCTTGACAAACTCTTTCTGCTTTTGGCAAGCCAGTTCAATTCCGTGACTATACATCTGGAAACAAAACAATATTGTAAGAAACGAAGAAGGCGACGGGTATGTTGGTGCAGCACAATTTTATCTTCTTGCAGTCAAGGATTTCTGTACAGTCTTTTTTGGCACACAGGTATTCTGCCTTCTGTGTATGCAGTTATACTTTTATATTACAGGTCTTCTCTTCATCAACTAGATTCTAATCTAGAATATACCACTTCCTTGACAACCATCAGGCAAAAAGCCTGATAATCAGCACAATGTTCTACACATAGCTGGTGCTCAAGAAACATTTGATTGACAGCTTCGTAGTACTGAAACAGCACAATAATTGGGAGCAAAAGCTTAAATCTAGTTCCTCACCTTACAATATGCTGAAAACCAGATCTTTAGGGTTTTGTTCTCTATCACATAGATAGTCTTTAACTTAATCCTAGTCAAAACAGGCAGAGCTATCAAAAAAAAACAAAAACAAAAAACAAAACTGGTCCACCCTGATGACTGCCTCTGTTCCACTCATAAGCAACAGTAATTAATCATAATATTTACTGAACCACTACATGTAGGGCACTTTAGCGTTTAATTCCTTACATACCTCAGCTCTATAAAACAAAAGCTGAAGGTACATTCTTTAAGACTTCTCAGCCAAAACGCAGAACAATTTCAAACTATGTATTCCAAACAATTTTACTCTGATCTGTTCCCTAATCTGCACCACTACTCAAGTCCTTATAATTTCATACCTCAATTATATAAATACAGCCTTTCTCACATGAAGCCATTTCTCCATTCTACCAGACTTGGAGTGATCTTGCCAAAAACCAAATCTGATCACTTTCCTCATTCTTAGAGTCCTGGGATAAAGCACAAACTGCAGCATGGCGCAGTCCTTCATGATCTCACTTCCTACTATCTCTCTAGACTCAGTTCCAGTTACTCTCCTCCTCGTTTGCTGCTTCTTTCCACCGCCCACCCCTTTCAGTGTGGCAACCCCTCATCCCCCCAACTCCTATCTCCATTCCAGATTCTGGCATCACTTCCTTACATTTTCTCTAATCCTTCCTTTCCCACCCAAGGTCTGCATACTTCTTAGTGGTGTTTTCACACAACATTGTGCTTAATTGTCTACTCAACTATCTCGAGGGGCTAGAATTCCAGAAGTCTTAGATGAATAAATGATTCTTCACTTCTTGTAACAGACTAGTGGTGGCAAATATGTTTTGCAAATATTTTTACAAATATTTGAGGCAAATAGCACTCAAGGTCTTTACTTTTGAGCCGAGTCTTAGATTTCTACTGCAGCAAATGTGGATGTTGTTGCTATTCAGGTGTTTTATTTACTCATTTAGTAGGTTTGAAGCCCAGGTATCACAAGTCCCTAACCAACCAAGTAATATATATAGATACATATATTTTGCTATCTGAAAATAGGAGCAAGAATAACTGTAGCCTAGCTATGCTTGAGCAGGAGCCAGGAAAAGGAGAAAAATGAAGCTATAAAATTTATCTTATAAGAAAAGACAAAAGTATACTAAGAAAGGCATATGGACAAATGGAAATGCCCTGCATTTTCAAATTGTGTGGGAGCAAATATTCATGTCTCAAATCAAACACAGAAATCTTATTTCCAAATTCTAAAAATGATTCATGTTTAAATTCTTCTCCACAGACTATACAGACAACATCTGGCATTTGAGCAAACTATCCAACATGTATTGAGATGATTAAAACAAAAACAAAAACAAAAAAGGTCCTATTTTACCTGTGAACATATTGAGGTTTTAGGGGAACATTAAACATGATTATATTTTCATGAACATCAATTCAAAAAAGGAACTAGGCTGGCATTAGGTTTACTAACATCACTTTACAATTAAAAATGCTCAAACAGGATCTCTAAATTCCGAATTGCTTTTTACTTTAATTGGATCTCAGAACTGTACATCACATATGACATTAAGATGTCTAGATTCCCCATGTCTGGTAAAATTAAACCGAAGCTGTTTTTTGAAAAGATTATAAAATGCTTATAATTTGAATTTAACATTTTATTCTTTCCAAATATTCCAATCCAAAAACTTAAGTCCTAAAGCCAGCAAGACAAGTAAGTAGGTTATAAACACATGGACAAACTTAGCATCAGTACTTGGCAAAACGTAACACCAAAGGTAGTTTCAGCCTCGTGGTTTGACATCACAGGATGGGAAGTGCAGCAGGTAGAAAAAAACACTGTAGTAGAAGTCAGAAGTGGGTGCCAGTTTTAATTCTGCCACTAATTGGCTACAGAGTCTCAGAGAAATCACGTTTAATGAAGAAGGTCAGCCTGTTTACTTAGAAAATACCTCCAGCTAAATAAGCTTATAATTCCAAGTGCCTAAGTAAAGAGTTAATACACAGATATTTTCAAGTTTATCTTTTTAGTAATCTCTACACCCAACATGGGGCTCAAACCCACGACCCAGAGATCAAGAGCCGCATGCTCCTCCGACTGAGCCAGCCAGGCGCCCCTCACAGATATTTTCTAAGTTCAGAGTTTATCTTAGGTTACTTTTGTGATTCAACCACAAGGCGCTGAAATTCTGGAGACCTTTTATTCTCTCCATATGCCTTCAAAATTGACAAGAGCAGCTGCTGTTCATTTTTCCCCCTCCATAACACATCCATTATATGCTCACATAACACATTTTGTATATAAAGATGACACTAGCAATCCATAATTAGGGGGTGACTACTAACCTGTCGACTCTCATTCTGTCCTCCTAAAAAATGTCTTGCACTTTCCCAGAGACTGGCTGGCCGAAGTACAGTCTATGGTTATGAAACAGCATTTTTCTCCCTGAAGCCAACTAACCCAGTGTACTGGGCACAGGACCTTACACTTATTAGCAAATGATTTAAATCACTCATCTTTGCTAACAGCAAGATGTGCCTAGAGAAAAGCTGTTAATTCAATTAAGCTCTTAGGGACCCTACTCTGCAAGAAGCCTGGAAAGCAGAGACATCCATAACCGTTTCTCCGGACATATTCGTGTTTAGTCTTGTTCTTAATTGTTCTTAATTTGTTCTTAAAATATTCTTCCAAAACACACCCAGATTAGGAGAAAAACCGGGATAAGGTGATGAGTATGTAAGCACTCCCTAAGACAGGACTCAGAAAAATCCTAAAGGGTACCTCATTTGGGTAAGTTTCAGAGGAAAGAAGGCTGGATTGAAACCTACAAGTAGCACCGGGAATCTGAGGAAGAACTCCGAAGAAAAGGGCAAACGTGTGCCTATGTGTTTTCACTGGAGACTGATGTGGAGCAAAACTAAAAACCTAACTGGAGGGGAAATGGTCACATTAATGGAACGGATTTACACCACCCTCAAAAGCGAGGTTTTACGGAATTTATTCGGATGTCCAAAGTCAATGAAATTGGATCCTAAATTTGTATAAAGTCAGGAGCTCAGTGAATTATTGAAACACAACCAACCATTCGCTGTTCCTATTAAGTGGGCACAAGTATTAGAGCCTTCAAGAGAATAAAGTGCTCGGGTAAAAACACGCACGAGGAGACAAAGGGTCAACGTTAGAGCGTTAGCCGCCCCAAATCTGGGTGCTGTCGGGGGGCGGGGGGGCGGGGAAGGGGGAGGAACATCTTCCCAGGATGGGAAGAAATTAGCCAAGGTGAAAAGGTGTGCGTGGAGGTGGAGATTGGGAATATACGGCCAGCCCTTCTCAGAAGCCCTCAGAAGATGCTACAATAGCCGCGGGATGGCATCAAGCCCCTGACCCCCGGGAGTGAGATGGGGACGCAGAACAGGGTACAGGGAGGGTCGCAGAGGCAGGGCCGCGCTGGTCCCCAGGCCGGCACCTCCCCATCCCGCCACCCCCCCCCCCCCCCCCCCCGCCCTCGCGCCCGAACGCGGGACGCCTCTCACCTGGGCGCCGCCGCCCGGCAGCTGCGGGCAGCGGGGAGAACTGGGGGACACGTCCAAGTCACTCTCTTCCTCGGCCTCACCCTCGGCCCGAGGGAGGCTCCAAGGTCCCGGCGGCGGCCACGGCTGCTCCATGTCCGGCTGCCCCCAGCCCTAGAGCCGCCACCGCCAACGGACTTGGCGTGAGCGGAACCTGCTGCGCGGAGCCAGCCGCCCCAGCCTGACGGGGCCGTTACCCAGAATCCCTCTGCTGGCCGCGACGCCGACGCACACCCCGCGCTGGCCTGGGCCGCGGACGGCGGAAGAAGACGGACGGACTTGGCTACGTCACTTCCTGCTTGGGGGTTGGAGGCTGGGAGGGCAGGTTCTGGGCGTGAGTGAAGGGGGTGGGTCAGGGCTTCGTGTTTAAGGTTGCGTTCTCTGAAACCTTTGAGCGATGCCAACATACCCGTAAGGGTGCTGCGGGTGACATAGTGTTTAGTTGTGGCCTAGCGTTGCCTTCGCTCTGCACCGTGGGTCCCGGACGCCGAGAGGTGCCGTGTCCGCTTCGCAAGTTGTTTACAGACGGCAACGCCTACCTCTACGTTGGTCTGCAAAGTAGCAGTTCTGAAGCGAGGGTGGGCGGAAAATAGGGCAGAATTTTGAAAGGCAGAGCCAAGTTTTCCCTCATTTCGAGTTCCAAGCTACAGGAGTTTGGCGAAACTTGGCTGGGAGGAGGAGCGCGTCGACGATGAAGTAGCCGAGCAAGCGCGGTTGATGAGGACGAATGCAGGTGATAGCGGACGAAGCCCTGTGTTGCTAAGTTATCTCATTTAGTCCTGAAGACGGGGAAACACACCCACGGGGCGCAAGGTCACACATTTGAAGGAGAGAAGCTATGATCACCCCGGGGGTCTAACTTCAAAGCGTGTAAGGCTAGCAACCGCACACTGCTGCCCTCCCTACCCGCGATTACAGGGACCCAAATAAAAACGAGACGCCATTTTTTCAGTCTCCTAGATCCACAGACTTTGAAGTTTGCCAATACCGAGTGTTGGCAAGATGCGAGGAAATGCTTGTTCAAAGAGAATGTGATTTCTGTAACCTTTTTGGAGAGAGTAATTTGACAATGTCAGTGACTAAAGGGCTTTGAATCAGCAATTTCACTACCAGGGAATTCTCCCAACTGTTATTTTTGTACCAATATCCAATGATTTATCTATAAAGATGTTTATTGCAACATTCCGTGTGTGTGTGTATGTGTGTGTGTGGCAAGAAAACAGGAAACAGTCTAATTGCCCATCAATAGAGGAGCCTAAATAAATTATGGTATATTAATACAATGCAATATTATCAGTCTTTAAATACGTGCTGATACAGGAAATCTCCTAAATGTGATGAATTTAAAAAATTGCAGTAATACATATATGTATATGTATATATATATGTATGTATATATATTTGTGTGTATATCTACATCTACCTTTCAAGAGAAGGATCCAATTTGTGTGCGTGTGTATAGAAAATTCCTGGAGGGTAGTGCTCGCTTTGGCAGCACATATACTAGAAAATTCCTGAAGGGTAAACAAGAATTGTTAATGGTGGATCAGGCTGGGGAGGAAAGTTTCTGAGTTTCTTCGCTTTTCATTTTTAGCATTCCTGTGTTAAGCTGTTTGAATGTTTTTCAGTGCGTATATACCTTAATAATTACAAATAAAAGTTGAGAAGCAGTGTGCCTAAACCTTTTGGGTTAGGAAAAGCCACAGGAGAAAACAAAGGGAGGAAGAAAGGGAAAACACTTATTTTTCTCTTTGTTTCCATGAAGGCATAAAGTGCTTTGAGCAGTGCCTGGCTTAAAGTAAGCTCAATATTGGTTTTCCTCTTACCTGTCTCACTACTTCTCAGGCTCTTTGGCAGTCTCTTCCCCTTCTAAATGACCTCTAATTTTAAAGTTCTTCAATTTTTGGCCAGTGGGGAGGACCTTGTCTGTTCCCGTGGCTTTAAATAACATCTGTGTATTGACAACTCACTAATTGAAATTCAAGCCCTGACCTAACCTCAGTATTTCAGACTCATTTGTCTACTTGCTGACTCGACATCTCCCTTTGAATGCACATCTTAAATTTAATATTTCCCCAAAAAACCTCTCTTGATTCCATTCCTTCCCCAAACTTCTTCCTATCTTCTCCATATCAATAAGCAGCACCACCACCAACTTCAAAAGAGGGTGGCTTTCATTCATCCCCTCTCTTTCACCTCCCATATCTGAACCAACAGCAAATCTTGTTATTTTTACCCTCAAACACATCTGGAATCTGTCTACTCTCCGGCTGTAATGCTTCCTCCCTAGCTCAGGACACCAGGATCCTTCCTCAGAATTACTACACGCTACTAGTACTCTAGTCTTTCATGCCTCTGTTCCATTTTTGCTCCTTACAAATGTCTTCACACGGTTGCCGAAGAGATTTAAAAATACGTGTATATAAATCAGATCGTGTCACACCCCCGCTCTATCATTTGAATGCTTTCAACCCCAGAAACAGAAACCCCAGCTAATGGAAACTTAAACCGTAAGGAAAGTTATTTTCTCTTTAACAAAAAAGGATGAAGATGGGTGTTCTCAGGATTGGTTTAGCAGTTTGGCGATGTCATCAAGGACTCCAGTTCTTTCTATTCTTTCCACCATCCTAAGTCTGTTGACCCTCATCCCCAGGCCTGTCATGGTGGCAGGATGGCTGCCACAGCTCTGTATGTCACACCGAAACACGACAACAGCCAAAGCAGGAAGAGGGAGGAGGCAAACAGCTTTACTTACTTGTGGCTCTACTATGAGACATAAAAATGTTTCTCAGGAGTGGCTGGGTGGCTCAGTCGGTTAAGCGTCCGACTTCGGCTCAGGTCATGATCTCACGGTCTGTGAGTTCGAGCCACGCATTGGGCTCTGTGCTGACAGCTCAGAGCCTGGAGCCGGCTTCAGATTCTGTGTCTCCCTCTCTCTCTGCCCCTCCCCTGCTCGTGCTCTGTCTCTCTGTGTCTCAAAAATAAATACAAACATTAAAATTTAAAAAATATATTTCTCAGAAGCTTCCAGTGACTTCCCCGTATAGCTCATTGTCCAGAACTGGTTAAATAAATGATGATTCATTCCCCAGAACTAGATGCATTGCCACCCAAGCAAAACTGGTGCTCCAATAGCAAGGAAGAGGGCTTATGACTATTAGGTAGCCACATTGTCTGCTATAACTTTGAGTTCCCATGTAATCTAACGCCGGCTACCTCTTCGGTGTCACTTCTTAACCCCCTCTGCCCCCGCCCAGATCTCTCTTAGTATGTTCATTGGCCACCTTTCAGGTTCTCAAACATATCCATCCCCTCCCTGACTCCTGGCCCTTTACATTTGTTGCTCCCAGCACTGGGATATTTTTTCTCTGGTACTTAAAAGTCCGGCTAGTGGTCATGCTTATTTTTTTAGATCGTAGATCAAATGTCATGCCCTTAGAGAGGCCGATCTGTCCACTGGGTCTAAATTAGGTTCTTATTCCCTCTCTAACCTATGACCTTCTCTTTCACCCCCAACTCCCAAATTCCTTCCTAGTATCTATCACCCTGTTATTATCTTAGGTTCACTTATTTATATTTCTTCTCCCACCAGAATATAAAGCCCACAAAGGCATAGATTGTTTCTTGTTCACCCTCGTACCTCCATTGTCCAGAACAGTACCCTAGCATACAGTAGGTATTCGATACATATGTGTTGATAGATGCATGAGGAATGAATGAATGGAAACAAGGATAAGAGGAAAGGTGTAGGACCAGATAAAGACAGAAGAGGGTGAGAAGGAATGAAAAGAGGTATATTTTGGTAGGAGAAGAAGGGGTGGATATAATGACATCATCTTAGCCATTGCTGACTTTGGGGCCTAAATCCCGTGCCCAGGTTCAGTGGATACATTTTACAAGTCTTGGAACTAAATCAAACTCTTTTCTACTTTCTTATATTGGATAATAAATATAATTCCTTGGAAACTGCTTTGGGTCATAATTAGCCTACTGCCCCCACGGACATAGAACTAGTCAGCTGAAACTCAGAGGAGCAAATTACTTTTTCTTGAAAAGAAATTACTTTAAAATGGAAGGATATGGACTGTGTAGTCCAGAATGCCCAACGGCAGTCCTTGTGGAAGAGTTTGTGTGGTATTAAATAAGTACTGAGCCTACAAAAGCCAGTGAATCAAAGTAGAAGCCAAAGAGTAACATATGAGTCTGACTCATAAACTCTAATAAAGTTTGTGAAATAGATCCCATGTGTGAGTCCAGATCCCAAATGACTTCAAGCTTGTTAAAAGCTGTGCAGTTGCAATTTAATTCCTTCCTTGAAAGCTTTCCTGATACTTGGGGAAATTCTGGAGAAGTATGGGCACTTAAAGAAATACTCAAGTTGCCAGCTCCCGTTTTGTATATTTACGCAAAGGCCGCTATTCTGGTATTACAGTGCTGCTTTTTTCTTTAAGTGGATTTCTCTCTGAATCATTTGGAAAGTATTATACACCTTGATGGTTTTCTTATCTGCATTTGAGGGAAATGGATCCACCCTGTTATCTCTTTAAGTGTATGTAAGAGTTCTACTGTAGGGCATTTCATTGTGATGCCACTAAGAATCCTCTTGACGGGTTATTTTAGGACAGAAGGAAGCTCACATAAGGATGTGATTGCTTTTCTTATTTAAGTGTATATTAAATATTTTTAAATTGTTATTATGAATATTTTTATACACAAAAATATAGAATTATGATAACCACTATATATCCATCACCCAGATTAACAATTGTGAAGATTTTGCTACATTTGCTGTATCCATTCCTTTTTTTCATTTGCTGGAGTATTTGAAAATAAAATCTTAGACATCAGATCATTTTACTAGTACATACTTTATTAATTTTTTTAATATTTATTTTTGAGAGAGAGAGAGAGACAGAGCACAAGTGGGGGGGGAGGGGCAGAGAGAGGGAGGCACAGAATCTGAAACAGGCTCCAGGCTCTGAGCTGTCAGCACAGAGCCTGATGCAGGGCTTGAACTCACGAACCACGAGATCATGACCTCAGCTGAAGTCCAACCCTTAACTGACTGAGCCAACCAGGCCCCCCTGCTACGACATACTTTAATATGCATCTCTAAACAATGTTGATATTTGCCTTACA